CCCCCCTAACTTTCAAATTTTCCTTATATATATATAAAATAGTACCCTGAAATGCCAGCTTAATAGGGTCAGGATGGATGTTAAAAACTTGTTCGCGTGTGTGTGTGTGTCTGTGACTAAACTAAATACAAACTTAACTCTCTAGTGGTTTTAATCTATGGTTATATTTTAAGCTCTTCCTCTCTCAATTTCTTGTTAAAATTTTGTTTGTAAATTGATTTTGATCTTCGTATGTAGGAATATAATTAAATGCAAATAGTTATAAATAATGGAGTACATACATAAGTACATATAATAGTAAATAATCCGTGCCAAACTGTACATACGTATATGTCATATCTTTTTTATAAAAACAAAAAAAAAACACACACAATCGCTAAAAGAAGAGCGGTATTGATTTTGTATTTTCTCTTTCAATCGTTTCTACTTCTAATTCTTCTTGTCTTTTGTCAATATTGCCAACAATGAAATTCACTGCAAAAAAACACCAACTATCCATAATTAAAACACACACATATGCACACATGTAAAACAAACTGCACCTGTTTTTAATTTCGCAACAATCGAAAACTTTGAAAATTATTTTAAATTGCACATGCGCCACGCTACGCCTGCCCACATCGTCACTCATTCGACAATCAGTTGATTGCTGGTTCGATTATAGCGCCGGGTTTTCTGGGCGCTTTGGGCCATAATAGTCGCTCGCATAACGCACGCATACCTGGCTATGGACAGGGCGGTTTGCATCGTTCGTCGGCTACAACAACAACCACTACGACAACTAGCACTACCACTTCTACCACAACAACAACAACAACAACATCGTCGGCAATACCACAATCAACGCACAATTTGCCAAAATCCGACATTTTGAACACCTTTAGCGGCAATTTGACAAATGTACACACAAAAAAAAACCAAACATTTTATGAGATTCATCTTCGCTGGTTTGCTAAAAATGCATATATGCTATATACAAAAACAATAATTGCTATTGTAATAGAAACTCAATGTAATGATCGTCTACATACCTGCATAATAGTGTAATGAAATTGTCTTCTCGATGTGAATGATATAGCGAAAAGTATTTGATTATGTGGATTATTATTTTTTATTTTTTGCCTATTTTCGATAATTTATGCCTTGCGTGGAATTTGGTGTTGTGCTTATCGAAAACATAGTATGTATAGACATTCGTATGTGAAAAAACTATGACTGAAATAATTTACGGTGGTCAATAAAATCTGCGGTATTAGTACTTCTTCCCCATCCTGGGTTTTCTATCACTCGATTTCCGGTTCAGAAAAAGAGTACATTGAAGGTGTTGTAAAAAGAAAAGGCCAACTCAAAACTCAACTGAATTGTACTGATCTCTATTTTACCGAAGTAAGTGATGTATCAAGGAGGTTTCATTTGTAATAATATTGCGAAAAATCTTTGAAAGTATTTGTGGGCTGAATTTGTAGGAAAAATGTCATTAGAGCATTCAAATGAAGCCGGCTGTTTTAATTACATTGATCCAGCCAAAATTTTCTACACTCGGTCATTTGGTAATATGTAGTCGATATACCGAAGTACTTGTTATGGCAGAGCTTATTAGGTTCATCTAAACTTCAGTTCTTCCACCTTTTCATTGTAAGAATGAATCAGGGTTGGGCAAATTGCACTAAATCGAAATTTTCACAACCATTTAGGGCTTTAGTAGTAGTTCATTTCAAATTTCATTACCACTATATTATTTAAAAATTCAGTGCAATGTATGATAACAATGAGGTTATAATATAAAAGAAACAAATTTGTAGAATTATAACAGAATAAATTTTTTGGTTCATAAGACGAATTGAGTACGGAAAATGTCGTTTACAAATTTTGTCCTTAAATATCCTTGAAAATTTGCGAGGAAATCATTTCAAATTTTTCGGTGTGGGAAACATATCTCATAATCTCGCTTCCTTTGTAAAGCGATATATAAATGATAAAGTAACGTTCCTGTAAATAGTTGATTGCGCTTGATCGACAGAGAATATTTCTTTTTGGAAAGTCAAATCGAAGAACTAAGAAAGTGATTTGCCTTTTCTTAAACGTAGTTCCGTCTCGAACTACCCCAAGATAATATTTTCTTTTAAAGCTAAATTTATTTGATAAGGGACTTTGGTCGAAATCCGTATAGCACACCCGTCATTTCTGCTTCTTGTCTTGTAGTAAATTGTTCATGGGCGGTTCAGTTCTGCAGCTCTTTATTGACTTCTCAAACATCATATTAAAGAAATCACACGAAAGGGAGTCGCACTGTGTCAAACCTGGTTTGGTGGTAAACCGCTCGCAGATATCCTTCTCAATTCTGACGGAGCTGGTGGTGTTGCTAAACGTCATTTTGAAAGCCGTATCATTTTCGCGGGGGATACCGAATTTAAAAAATCGCAGCGACCACTTCTTTTTGTGATATCGAAAGCGGCTTCGAAATCGACAATTAGATCGTGTGTGTCGATCCCATTTTCGTAAGTCGTTTCCAATATTTGGTGCAAACCTGCTCTATGGTGGATTTGCCAGGCCACACTGAAAAGGCCCTGCCTTGTATCCAATGCTTAGACGGCTCATCCTACGGTAGTTGGCGCATATGGCTGGGTCGCCTTGTCAATTGGACAGAGCACACTTAAATTCCAGTCGTAGGGAATGCGTTCAGGCCGTCAGCTCCAGCAGCTTTGTCGTGTTTCAGCCGCGAAATTTCTATTCTTAACCAGGGTTGCCAACTATCCTTAGCTATGAAGTGAACACATTCCTAAAACAAAAATACAATTCCAAAATAAGGTAAATCAGTTGTATACACTATAGAAAATAAAAAATTTGAGTTGAGAAGTACAAGCAAAGTATTTCGCAAAAATGTATTGAAATATTAGGTACTATTTTTCAAAAGTGCCATTTTCGCACTTTGTGTCAAATTGAAAAATTAAGTTCCATTAGAAATAAAATATGGCCAAAAGTGGCCTTGTTTTAGCCAAGTTGGCAGCCCTGTCCGTAACTCGCCATAGTCAGGCGGTGGGACATCGACTCCACCGTCATCAACTGACAGTTCGGGGTTTTCTTCTCCACTACTTTCAGTGTTGTTACCATGCAATAGGGTGGGAAAGTATTTTCTCCATAATTTCACTACTTTTTGGACATCGCTCACTAGGTCGCCATAGGAGTTCGTCCTGGCCTTTAACCTTCGCTACGTCACCTAACTCTCTGGTAAAATTTTCGCGCTTTCTTTTCTGTTAGCCAGAATTTCGAGCTTTGCGTACTTTCTTATTTCGAAATGGCTTAAAAACCCACCTACTGCTGAACTGGTTGAAAAACGCCCTATCTCTCGCTGAAACGGCAGATGAGATAGGCAGTTTTTCAAACAAATTCTGAAATAGGTCTTTCTTCAATAAAATTCTGAGATAGGGACTTCTTTGAAAAATTTCCTGTGAAAGTTCGTTTTCGAACCGGCTATTCCACTCAGACGTGGGTATGCAGTTATTTGTAATTATAGATAATGAAATCTCTGAACGAAACACCATTTCCTACAGTTAAAATTAGTATAATTTGGGCATCATAAACAAAAAAGAAAATAGTGTTATAATATCAAGAAACAATAAATAAAATAATAGAATTTAGTAAAAAAAAAATGTTTGTAAATATAATAGCATTGCATGGAATAGGAGTAAATTAACGTGATTGCAAAACTAAAGCAGTAATATGTATATGTCTGTAACATAAACTCCTCCACTATCTAGCTTTCCTATGAGTTAAAATCTTACTCATAAATACATATGTCTGTGTGTGTACTCTATTATGAATTTCTATGAATTTGCCTATATTTAGTATGTGGATTATCGTTTCTGTTTTTTCTAGCTAACCCTACGTTTACACATCCTTGAAAATGCACACACTCACACACACACACACAAATTCACAGATACATACACACGCTCACATCTATGAATTTATTAATGCTCTTTAAGTTTACAGCTTTGCTTGTAAACTTTTTGTTTACTCAGCCTTTTTCCATGTCGGCTGAGTTGTGTTTTTGTGCAGCATCTGGTATAGGCATGGCAAATATTTTTTTTTTTTATTAACAAAGCGCGTTAAAATACCGAATTTCCTTTCTTTCTTTAAGTTTCAGCTGCAGCTTTGTTTGCCTATCTGCTTATACTAGTTGGGGTGTCTGTCTTTCAGTTTCTTTTGACTTTATTCTTTTCTATAAAACTGCAGTTTATAATATTTTACTTTTGCTTTAATAAATTTTGCATATTTTTTTATTGCTTACTTCTTTTCTTCACCTCTCATCTTTAGCGTTTACTGTTATAATACAAACCGCGCTCAACAGTTTGCTTTGATTCTTTGCGTGAACATTTCCCAGCGTTGCTTTATTATTATTTCCATATTTAAATTTTTTCTTATTTCTCATTTTACTGCATCAGTGTGTTGACTATGCCGCAGTTCATAAATATTCTAAGTTAAATTTGAGATACCTACCTTGATGCTTTTGCTACAGAATCATAAAGTGGTTTTGCTTTTTTGCACTCTTCTTTGAATGCATTACTTGCGTTGTGTGAGTTTTGCATGAATTACGATAATGCGCTGCTCTGATCCCTTTGTCTTTATGACAATAATAACAGTTTAAGGAAAACACAATTCCTTAGTTATTAGGAAAAATTTACTTGCCGTTTTATCCCCCGTTAATTTTTTTATTTTAATTTTATAAATTGTATTAAAAAAAATATCTAATTTTTTTTGATGATATTTGAGTATTTAAGTTTTTCCATATATGAAATTAATTGTACAATTTGTAATTTCTATTTGAATTGAAATAATTGGCTTACCTTACTCTAACCACCTCCAACCGACCTCGAACCTGCTATCTCAGAACCAGAAGCAGTCGTTTTCACGCGACGCCACAGCCGACATTTGCCAGGAAAGCAATTAACTTTGTCGAAACAGCACTCACAAAATTCAAAATTATTTAAGGAACTTATTACCTATATTGAGGAAATTATTACTTATATTGAGTAAATTTACTTCCTCAAATTAATGACGCCCTAATTTTAGCATGAAGCTGAATTTAGGAAAAACTTCTCAAATTGAGTAAACTTTTCGTAATATTAAGGAAAAAACAGTAAAATAAGGATATTTTTTTCTTGTTTTAAGGAGATGCTGTTTTCTGAGTGTATAGGACTGTTTTCAATTCAGCTTAGTTCAATTCAATTTATTGAGGATATATTAGTACAATGAGATACACGGATCTTTTATAGTACAACAAAGAAGTAGAAAAAAATATTCAAATAAAAATATTAAAGATAAATTAAGGAACGGGCTACTGTAAACTTAGATGCTAACATAATATATAATTTAACAAGTAAAGAAGTATAAGATCGGGCGAAACTGAAATTTATTACCGTTAAATGGGATGTGGGCTTGGTTTTTGTCTGATTACAAAAATTTGCAACGGGTTTCTTAGTGAGGCTCTATTCAATGTTCGGGCCGAGATTGGTAGGGATTCATGAAGGGACTACAGAGCTATAGCATTTCGTCATAAGCGGGCGGTGCCACGCCCATTTTCCAAATATTTCAAACTGTCTCATTTATGCCAAAATTCTACTTCGCAAATCAACTTTAAATAATAATGGGATCCAGTATTTGTGAAAATATCGTAGTTTTTGCATATTTCGAAATTGCCGTTATATGGGAGGTGGGCGTGGTTATTGTCCGAATTTGCCGATTTTGGTTATTGTTGCGATTTTTCGTTGAAATATCTAAATTTTTTCTTATGTTATCGTGTACACGGACAGACGGACGGACGGACACACATGGCCTAATCAATTTCTCTTTTCATTCTGAGCATTTATGTATACATTTATCTATATCTATCTCGATTCGTTTTGGCTGTTACAAACAACCGTTATGCGAACTAAGTGCACACGTGCGCTCGGGTATAAAAATAGATAGTCAGTCCAAATTATTCATTAACATTCACTAAAATAAATATAGATAGATCGCTTGAAGTTACTTTTGTTAAAGTAGTTTCTTAGATTAGCAGGGATGGTATTCCATAAACGTATAGCGTTGACGATATTGAGTTAAAAAGAGGGATCTCATTGAGATCAGTTACTAATATTAACAAAGAGGTAATGTGAGGATTTCAGTGTGATGAGCTTGTACAAAAATATACAGTTTGCTTCCATATAACGCATACACAATTTATTTTTGTATGCAAGAAAACAGTAACATCTTCGACAAAAAAAATCCAAAAAATCAACGGTAGTTTTTACCCAATTCAAAGTTGAACTTTATTGTATTAAGTAGAATTGTATAGGCTACAAAACTGCATACCCAAATTCTTTCTAAGAAATCTAGCTAAAAAGCTTGAAATAGAAGTTTGTTGATTTTTTTAACATTGCACATAGTTTGAAATTTGGATTTGGCCTGTGTTTTTATAAAAAAAAATAACTAAAATTAAATAACAAACAAATAAATAAATTGTTAAAATGTGGTGCAACCATAATTTTTTCGACCACTGTACATCCTTCACTTAAATACTTGTTGTAATGACAATCCAAATGTCCTGTTTATACTCTTCTCTTCTGCGGTACCCAATAAAACCATAAAAACCTATCTACATAACTAAGCAAGCCAACTCTAGTTATTACAATTCATTGAGCGCTTAAATGGCAATAAATAGAAGTATAAATTGGCTACTTTATTACTAAGTATGCTATAACAGCTCACGAATACCTACGTACATTCATAGTGGCACAGAGCAGTTCTGCTGGACGTGCAACAATATCAATGAGGCAAATAAACAAATAAATACAGGGTGGCTGATGAATATTGCTACATTGTGAAACTCAAATAACTTTTTGTTCAGTTCGCGTAATTTATTTATTTTTGATTCATTTGATAGATAATAGATTTTTATTACGTTTTTTTTAAATGGTTTCAAAAATATTGGAATTTAAATAGCCCCTACACTCGGTGACGCACAGGCGACGACAACCTAGCAAAAAGTTACTCTTTACTGTTTGAAGGGTGACAGCTCGAATTGCACTAATTATCGGTCGAATGTGTTGCGTTGAGTAATTCAAATTTGTTGATTTGACTTGTAAACTTTCTGCTTGCAATAACCCCTCAAGAAGAAATCAGGCGCAATAGGGCCAACCACCACCGCTAAATTCAAAATTCATTTGAATTTTATAAGCGAATAAGTTCAAATCATTGCAAGTTGTATAATCGTCTGTAGTGACTGTCTGCTGATACCAATTTGAGCAGATAAGCTCCTTGTCGAAACTTCGCGATTTGCCTTTATGGCAACAGCTTCAGCAGCGATAGTTTCCTGCGTCCGAACTGAAAGGTTTCGATCTTATGGTCTTCTTGCGATAGGCCCATTCCCAGCAAATTTTTTTGCGAGCCTCGTTATAGTCCATCTGCTTTGAGGAGAGCCGCCAACCGCGCCAATCGAAACTACGGACTCCAATGCGTGATAGCAGCGGGCAATCCAAATTCTTGTCTCAGTGTCCCAATTTTCGATTTTTGCTAAAATTTAAAAAGCAGTCTATAAAACAAAAAAAATAAACATTTGAGCAGATTAATTATATAGAAAAAAGTTATTAATAACTAATAACTTTTTTGGTAGCAGCTTTCATCAGCCACCCTGTAAATAGTTAAAAGCACCATTGGACAGTAGATTTATTTGCTATGACATTCAGCATCCACTGGCAGCGTTTACCTATTTTTTTTGATTTTATTATTGCAATCATTCTATTTATTTTATTCGCCATTCGTTTTTTGTGTCAGTTTGTGATTTTAATTACGATTGGATAAAAATAATCTAAGGACTAGCAAACTCAGCCAGCGCCTTCCATTTATGGCTGAAAATAGAATATGTAGTATCAACATACACAGATTTACTCGTAATTAGTTAAGAAAAAACTGTTTAGATGTGTTTTAGTACTCTGTGAATATTTTGTACTTGTATGTAAATGTATGTATGTACATATGTATGTAAATTTATGTGCCCTCAATCTAAGTCGTATTTACTACTTGTACTATGTACATTGTATGCGAATGTCTGTTTCCACTTGCTTCCTCCTTGCTATCTCCATTTACCATAGCCGTTCGCTCTAATAGAAACTGTCATCGTTTGTATGTATAAATATACATACACATATATGTGCCTTCGTGTCTCTTCCTCCTCCTCTATCTGTTATGCTCTCTTTTGCCAATCGTTTTAATCTTGTGCCATCCTGCGTCTAGAATTTTAATTTATATTTCTGTTTGTTTTTCAAATTTATTCACAGGTTTATTATCAGCCTTACTTCATGTTGTATGGTGAAGTGTTTGCCGATGATATTGATCCACCGTGCGGTGAAGAGCCTCATCAGAAGCCTTGTCCCACAGGTGAGTGAGTTGGTGGAAAGATACGATTTTTTT